TACTATAATAGGTTCACTATTAATAAACAAATGATAGCAATCCATTTATAGTTGATGACGTCATCCAGCCGTATAATAGGAGGTGGTCCAAGATGTTGCAACTTAAAGAGAAGGTTAGGCAGTGAGTCAGGCCAGGTAAAACTAAAGAGAGGAAGGCTTACATTTTCTCTATCAGGTGTGCAGAATCTAAGATCATAACTAAATTAAACAAACTTTGTATCTGTCCTAAGAACACCTTTTTTCCAATTACCTTTGAAACATTTGCCAAAACTGCTTCTTGGTAGACATAGATAGTGTTTATAAACTTAAGAAATTAACCATTGAACTGAAGTGGAAATTAAAGTGGTTTTAAAATTCATAGAAAGTAAACCAAGTTCTACTTAGTGATTTATATTCTGAGCATGATTCTTGAGCTTTGGAACCATAGAAAAATATTTTCCTGAGAAAACTATTTTCAAGAGAAAGATTGAAGTTGCTTGGAAGGTATCATGTATTTTGCATATAAAATAAAAAATATGCAAAATGTATTTTGCATATAAAAGAAGTCTTGAAATAAATAGAGCCTACAAATACAAAGAAATGCCCACCTCCTCAGAAATATTGAGGATAACTGTGAGGCATTCTGTGCAGGAGATAAGGCCATCCTTATAGGGTAGTGGTGTTTCCAAAGCATGCTTTTGGGTGGCATTAATTTTTCCAGATAAATGTTTACTGCTTATTTGGAAGAAGGAATATGAAAGATCATGTACATAGAAACTCTGCAAAGGAAATACCTTAGCCTGTAAAATGTATGAAAAAGGGACTTAATCTCACTAATAGTCAAAGGAAGACAATTGGTGAGAGGATATTTGGGGGAAAAAAGGATGAACTATTAATGCTCAAATGTTAGCAAGAGCTAAAACTAGTTCACACAGTACTGTCGATTTTGGGACAGAGGAAATTGGGAAATATTTATCAACAGTTAAACTGACTAATTGAAACTGAACTTTGAGCCTGGTGTGTTGGTACACGCTGCAATTCCAATATTTGGGGGGCAGAGGTAGGCAGATCTTTGTGAGTTCAAGGCTAACCTATTTTACAGAGTGAATTCCAGGACTGCCAGGACTGTGACAACAGAAAAACCCTGCCTTGAAAACCGTCTTCCCAAAAGAAAAGAAAAAAAAGGAAGTGAATATTGTTTGATATAATTGTACCACTCTCCATACATGGTCTCACTATTACGTAGCCTTGGCTGTATATGTTAGACCAAACTACATAGGTGAACTGCATATGTTAGAGTCTTGAACTCACAGAGATCCACCTGCCTCTGTCCCTTCAGTGCTGGGATTAAAGGCATGTGCCACCATGCCCTACATAATTATATTTTTTAGCATCCCCTCCCAAAAGTTCAGCAATTTGAAAGTGATGAAATAATGATGAAATGAACTGTAAACAAATTTAAAGAAAATTTGCAGTGAAATAACTAGGGTACTATACTACTTGAATATTATTTGAATAATAGTTGATACTTATGTGCTATATGTAAAACACATAAACAACTTATTTAAGTAGACATTTATGGGGAATAGATCAAAATCAGTACCTTAAATAACTCCTTTTAGGATACTGTCAAATATATTGTTTAATTTTGTTTTTTGTCAGTATACAAATTTTTTTAAAGTTATAGTTTAATATTATGTTTTTTCTTTTAAGTTATTATATAGTTTTATTGATTTTATATTTGGAAAACAAAAACAATGCTTAGAATCAAATTGTAAAGCTTTCTACTTATTATGTATACTTGAAAAATGAAATTATTTTTATTTCTATGAAAATACATGTGTAATTATGTGAGCATGCTATCTATATATTCATGTTCTCATTTTTTAAACATTTTATAGCTTTACATCTTTACATGTTAGACATCACTGCAAGCTACACTGATTAAATTAACCTTCACCACACATTCATGAGATTTTCTAGTCACACGTCATTACATGTAAGGATCTTAAGACTCACAGAGATAACTGTCAGGTAAAGTCTCCCAGGGAATGAGTTCCAGAATGAACCTGAGCAGTCAGGGTTCATAGCACAGCCTTCCAGTCTCTCTACAGTTAACATCTTTTCATTTTATTTTGTTAAAGGAGTATGTTCAGCAGGGAGTATGGCAGAACCTTGCTTCATAAGACCCTACAAACAACCATGAAGCCAAAGGCAAAGGGCCTTAGTAGGCACTTGTAGGTAGACTTTTCCTTGTGTCTTGGCAGCTGCTTCCCAAATAACCACCGACTTATTATTAATTATAAATGTTCGGCCAATAGCTCAGGCTTGTTACTAGCTAACTCTCACAACTTAAATCAACCCATTTGTATTAATGTACATTCTGCTATGTGATGCTACCTCTCTTCTATCTTGCACCTCCTTTTTCCTCTTTGTGTCCACCTGACGACTCCTCTGACTCCAACCTTCTTCTCAGTGTCATTAGTCTGGTTCTTCCACCTAACCTTATCCTCTCCAGCTATTGACCAGTGAGCTTCTTTATTAAACTGGTCACAGTGTAATTTACACAGTGTAAAGGAATATTCCATAACAGATATTTACCCAAAGGTGCACTCAGCTCACCAACAAACACATGAAAGGCTGCTCCAAAGCAATTGTCACCAAGGAAGCACCCGCCATTAAATGGTGAGTTGGCACTGCATATTTACCAGGATGG